CCCTCCACCAGTCGGGGCTTTATGGCAGAGTGGCCCGACGGAAGCCTCTCCTCAGTGCAAGACACATGAAAGCCCGCATGGAGTTTGCTAAAAAACACCTGAAGGGGACTCCAAGATGGTGAGACCAAGATAGAACTTTTTGGCCTTAATTCTAAGTGGTATGTGTGGAGAAAACCAGGCACTGCTCATCACCTGTCCAATACAGTCCCAACAGTGAAGCATGGTGGTGGCAGCATCATGCTATGGGGGTGTTTTTCAGCTGCAGGGACAGGACGACTGGTTGCAATCGAGGGAAGGATGAATGCGGCCAAGTATATGGATATCCTGGACAAAAACCTTCTCCAGACTGTTCTTGAATGGCCCCGCCAGAGCCCTGACTTAAACCCAATTGAGCATCTCTGGAGAGACCTGAAAATGGCTGTCCACCCACGTTTACCATCCAACCTGACAGAACTGGAGAGGATCTGCAAGGAGGAATGGCAGAGGATCCCCAAATGCAGGTGTGAAAAACTTGTTGCATCATTCCCAAAAAGACTCATGGCTGTATTAGCTCAAAAGGGTGCTTCTACTAAATACTGAGAAAAGGGTCTGAATACTTATGACCATGTGATATTTCAGTTTTTCTTTTTTAATAAATCTGCAAAAATGTCAAATTCTGTTTTTCTGTCAATATGGGGTGCTGTGTTTACATTAATGAGGGAAAAAATGAACTTAAATGATTTTAGCATATGGCTGCAATATAACAGTGAAAAATGTAAGGGGGTCTGAATACGTTCCGTACCCACTATAGATAAAGAAAACTGAGAATGTGACGGTATCTTTCTATCCAATGCTGACTCAGCATCCACACAAGGTTTATTTTATTTAGAATAAACCTACAACTTTGCCCAAGAATCTATTTTCACAATGTGTTGAAGCCTCTACACACCAGTAGTCCCACTGCTGAGATCATCTCAGGACTCTTATTCAACCAAACAGGCCTATTCAGTTTTACTGTGACATCTGAGCCCCAGTGTTTGGTTCAGGTGTTTTTGCTGGCCCTCAATGCCCAACTCTTTTTTCCAACATGGCTGCTCTACCATTACTATTTAGATTTTTGTGTTGTCCAAGATATTTGAATTTTGACGACACTGATCTACAAAAGATATGTGGCGCTTCCTTATTCTCTAACCTGGTTGACTCTCTCCTATAGATGGCCACCGCGCCACAACGATTTTATTTTTGTCCTGATATACTCGATCAACGTTGCACGTCCGTCTACAAACGGTAAGTGTCGGCTTGCTGTCTGTCCAACACGGCCACCTGTCTGTTCGCCTCGTCTCCTACAGGGGGCGGAGTTTAGTTGTTAACCATTTGACTTCCTCATGCCCCTCACCCATTTACCAGGGTCACATACGGTCGGTGTATCAGGCATTTTAATCATCCTGCACTGCTTTGGTTACTGGGGTAAACTGCCTGAGATCAGCCTGAGGCTGCCTGTTACTCTGTGCTCACTTTATACTCTGAAAGATTAGATAAATTTTCTGCGTTACAGTTTGGGACACTGGCTTTCTCTAGTGCTCATTCAGCCCATAGATAATCTAACGCACTTAAATTTTATTTATTTATTTATTTTATTTTTTTTGCACACACATTTTGCCAAGTTAAACGTTAGATTAGATAAACGGGGCTTTTTTCCAAACAAACAGCACTTTGTATTTTGTGGCATTCATGTGGGCGGCAAAGTAAGAATTTCATTGTACAGGGACATGTTTCCTAACTGTGCATATGACAAACACTTTGACCTTAGAGTTTTTAAGTGCTGTTATAGAGATTATCACTGCCCAGATTTTGATTAAAAACAGTTTATTGTACTCTAGCATTAGGCCTCTGAGTCATCTGGCTCTACCAAGTTTCAAGAGGAAGTCTTGTGCTTTAAGTAGGCCCAGTGAGGTTACAGTTTAGCGTTTCGTATTCCTATTAGATTTTCCGGATGTTGGCAGGCCTCCCAGCAGGGTAATTTAGCCCACTCCTGCAAAGCGTTATGCCATTGATACGGGGATACTTTAGACAGGTTCATATTTGCATTGTCGTCAGTCCTGGTTTACGTGTTACCAGCCGGGCATTTGGGTTGTTGGGAAGGAGTCTGGCAGAGACAGATGAATTGGATGACTAAGAAAAAACGCTTGTGGATACCTGGTTTGGGTGTATTTGTCTTGTTGTCTGTGAGAACGACAGCAGTGATGAAGCCTGATTGTCAAGTACACAAGCTAACATCATATTGAACGTATTATTACTGAGTTTTACTCTTAACTTTCTTATACGAAGATTATATTGTGGGCTGAATGTCTCAAGGCGTTGTATGGAAAGAACTGAGCACTGCAGGAACAGTACCTCAGTTATTAAAGTGAAAATTAGCCCTTTGCAGTATGTCATGTCTTGGTAGCATGAATTAACCTGTCCTCTTTTCTAACTCCACGTATTCCTACACAATGTTCACTGATGGTGTTTTCTAAGATGACATGTAAATTTAGCAATATAAATGGTCAGTTCTAGGGTTAAGGAAGCCAGCGCTTCTCTACACTACAGAGAACGAGGCCAACAGAGTAGACTCGCATCATAAGAGGCTTTTCTCCTTCCCCTTCTTCTCAGTGTATGAAGGAGTTCGAGCTTTCAAATTATTGGTAGTTTGTACAGTTGTTGAGTCTCTTTAAACCTGTATATTTGCTGGAAAAGTGACTGAGGTAGTAAGATATGAAGGTAACTAGAGCAATGAGGCAGAGTTGAGGCAAATACAGGCTAGATCATGGACCTCTACTGAGCTGGAGCTGTGTGCCATGGTTGTGCAGTTTTCAAAACCAGACAAGGGATCCCTCTGGTTATGTGCATCGGCTAATATGGTATGCCATTATGATCCTACTAAGAGATACACTGTACAATTGATGACATGTTTAAGGGGTAGATTTGGTGAGACAGCCAGCTGTGACTATCACAGTTCAAGATGAGGATGCACAGACTAGACCTGACTGCATAAAGGCGTATAAAACTCAGTTAATGCATTGTGACCTTAGAGTGGGAATAATGGAGGGACAGGAAGCAGCACACCTCTCACTTCCACTCATCTGTATTTGAGCTTTACATTTTTAGAACAAAACCTACATTTTCTTGTTCTCAGTGAACACACCTAGTTTCAGGACCATGCTGGTGGAGGACCAGGACCACTTTAGGACCAGGGCCATCTTTTTCCCTCCTCTTTCTAAATCGACTACACTATTCCACAGCTCCCTAGTCGAGTATCTGAAAGCACCAGTCAGGGAGAATGAAGCCACTGTGAGGGAAAGTGTGCGGGTAGAGGAGCTATAATCTTTTGATATGTTAAAGAAAAGTTGCAGTTTACCAAGCTGTTTCCTGTCCTGCCAGAGAAGCTGACGTGGGGTACTGGGACCCAGAAGTTGTCGTATTCAGCTGTGAAGAAAACGAAGACCCTGCTGTCCCAGACCCTCATCAACAATGACTCCTTTGTACCACGAGTTGTTGATCTCTTCAGAAACATCAGGTATCCACCTTAAATCTTTGTCTTTGTACTTAAGACTAACTTTTTTTTTTGACTCT